ATTTGAAAAATCTTAAGAAAACATCATCAAAATTCATTCATGCTTAGCTATTGTATTGTATCGTATTTCTTTTTAACACTTTCTGAAGAAAACCAGGCAGAAACAGAAAAATAATTCAAGATAAGTTGATTCCACATAACTGTTTGGCTTATATTTTTTTCTTTCCTCTGTTTATCTTACAAAGCTAAATTAGCAGGACAATTCTGTAATCCTAAAAAATTAATAATTATTTAAAAAAGAAAACTTTGAGATCAGAAATGGGAGGTTCTGAACACTTAGACCTGTCCAGCATGCCAACACGTTTTTGTCCAGATAGTAATTTAAGCATACTTATTTTTCTTTCAGTGACTGCCTCAAGTCAGTATGGCAAATCTGTTAAGCTACTGAAGTTAAGGATCCAGTTGTCTTGGAGAAAGGGAGAGACAGCTATATCGTGGAGATATAGCTATTAGAAGATAGGAGGGGACCACCTGGAACCACATTCAAGGCAAAAAGGGAGGCCCTGGGGAATTATCTTTACTTTGACATCTGCAAGAACTTCATCAAGTATTTAAACTTCAAGTATGAAAGTCAATTTTAAGTTTTCAGGAATGATCCTTATGAAATTGCTCCAGTTTCCTCCTTTGACTGAGTAACCAGCCTGCAGAAGATGGATACAGCAGATGAGATGTTTGACTGCACTAAGACTTTTATCATTAAAGCTTAAGCAAATCATGCAATGGAGTAAAAGCAGACTGCTTCAAAAGGTAAACTTGGAGTGATTATCAGTTATCTCATGTCAAAGTAGGGTCACATGGGGGTCTGTTGGGTCCATTCTTGTTCAGTACTTTAATTGCAATCCTGTTGGTGGAATTTCAGTTTACTATTGTCTGAACCTGCCTTATCTCAAAGGACAGAATTGCTTGATACGTAGAGGACTGTAAATAAACATGATGTCATTCACTAAAGGCAAGTATAAAGTATTGCACTTACAGAAGTGAAATCAAACACACAAATATAAAATGGATTATAGCCCACTGAAATACTGCAGAAGACAAAGGGATTTTAGTGTGACTAGTAAACCAGTACTAGGCTAACAAGATAAGTGATACTGTGAAAGATAGAGGGGCAAAAAGGAAATCTCTGATGGGTGAATTAATAGAGTATCATCCAATCCAGGAGAGGTATGTCCTGCTACTGAAGGTGTGTCCAGACCCGAGCAACTTTAAAAAGCAACTGGAGGAGAAAAGCAAAAACATACAGAAAACATGACTTACAGGTATGTAATATTGAAAGAGTTGGATTTGGAGGAAGGTTAAATGGACATAATTTCTTCTTATGTAAAATATTGTTACAGAGAGATGAGCAGCTCTACCAGTGGAGCATAAAATAATCAGCTTCTAATTTGGAGTGGAAAAAAACCCTGGTAGTCTGAAAATAAAAGCTTTCTAATAAAGCAGTATCAGTGATACCTAGCCAGGTTGTGGAATTTCATTCACTGGGAGTGCTTGAGAGTACTATAAGTGAACAAATCATAACATGACCTTCTGCCACCCTGGTTTGCACTTTTTGGTTTTACATGGCAAGATGCACAGAAATTTGTTTCAAACATCTGCTGTCACTTCATTCACCTTGGATGGGATTCCCAAAGGAAAAACAACCTGTGCCAAACCATTTATGTTCCTGGGAAATTCACCGATGGAGTAGGCCTGGGTGTAAATACCCACAAAAGAGGAAACGTTGCAAAATTCCCCCTCACGGCAGCAGAAGCAGAAGTTCAAATGCAAAATGTACCACTTTATACTATGAAATAGAAAGTGCCAGGTGACAAAGAGGCAGTGGCAACAATAACCCCAGACTGTTCCAGTTGTATGGGATACAGTGGCTGTCAATTGAAACAGAGGAGCAAACCAGTGTATTTTGCATATCAAATTAATAGCTTCTTGTTCATGCCCTTGATGGCCAGGCTTCCAGTCACAAGTGTGATTTCTGTATTTTGCACAGTGACCTTACACCCTGCCTATCATCATGTTGAGTGTTTGCTTTCATGTTACAATGTTATTAACACTGATAATTAAATGTATCTATCTTGGAAGAATTAAATTAAAATGGTTTGCTGTTTACTTTTAACTTCTTAAGAAATTGTGCACTTCAGTGCCCTGTCTCTCCTTAGTCACAGTATCATCCAGGCTCATTTTAATTGTCTCCTCACTGTTTACATGATACTGTTTTAATTCCTCAGAATTCTGCTAAATTTAAATCATCATTGTATTATTATAGTATGGTAAGAAAGGAGAGAGAGTATCTAATGTGCTTATTTAAGCAAAATGCAATCAACATAAAATCATGTTACCTGATCTTTTTTTACTTGGTGACATAAGGAAAACCACAGATTGAACATTTATGCTTCCAACAGGATAAGGACCATTCTTTGGCCCATTACAATGGAATCTCTCCTATTATTATTGATATTCTCTCTGTAAAACATAATGCTATCCTGGAAGGGCTTGTAGGCCATGTAACTCCCAGGTCATGACTGGCAACTGTTTGTATGTGTGGCAAGTACAATTTCACATGATAAATGACGAATTTTAGTGCCTAAGATGTTCCTGTTTATAGTATTACAAAGGTAGCCCAGTATTGTGCCATATCAGACATGCTGGTTCATAAGAATTCCTGAGAGAGAGAGAGAGAGAGAACAAAATTTCTCATTTTTACAGATGCACAGAAACATGAAGGAGTGAAATGACTTGCAGAAGTCACGTACAAAATCTGTAGGAAATTTGGGCTAAGAGCTACGTCTTGTAGCTCCCAGTTCAAAGTCTTAACCACAAGATCGTTATTTCCCCCCACATCAGTGAAGCCCTGTTTCATCACCTTCAACAGCTGATAAATTACTGGTTTGAGCTGCTTAAATTCCAGAACTTTGAAGGGAAAGGTAAGAAGTTTTTGTGGCTTTTAAGTGTTTTCATAGACACCTTAAATCATTCACCAACTCTGTAGAAATTGAATTAAATGAACTTTCTTTCCTGACTTGTAATTATGTACTTAAGAAATCTGTGGAAGCCATTAGTTCATAAAAAAAAATTAAAATATGTATTTCAGCAATAGTTCAGAGACTAAGAGATAGTAAACTAGTACTTCTAAAACTTGAAATTGATTACATTTATAAAGCACTTTTTTTTTTCTCTCCAGGAATCAGAATAATGTCTATGAACGTCTCCTCAGTGAAACATTCAGTTACTCAAAGAGGCATCTCTATCTGAAGGTCTTCTTGGAAGTGTGCTTCTTTTGAGATCTTTTTCTGTAATGATTCACATCAAATTGCCACACAGTTACCTTACACTTACCTTTAGGTCCTATGTTTCAATGTGACACTGTCTGAAAGATAAGGACAGATAACCAGTAACTAGTTGTGTCAAGTATTAGTTCCAAGTATTCCTCCACTGCAGGCCTTAGGCATTTGCTTTTGGGCATGTCTGTGCTGCAGTCTGGTGGCATTAGATCAGCTCATGGAGATGAGTAGGACTGAAAAAGTTGTCTGAAGCATCAAGAGCAGTCAGGTTGCAAAGATTGTCAGTACAAGGCTGTCAGTACAGCCTTGTGTATTTTCCATGGCTGTCTCCTACATTAAGGTCTGTACTGGACAATCTTCTTTGATGCTGGTACCTAGCCTAGCAGAATGAAAGTTTACTTAGGCTCATCTTTACAGGCTCATCTTTGCATACTGCAGTCATGCTTCCCTTGTACTTGTATGCAGAGGTATCCTTTTTCAGGATTGGAAAAATGCTGGATTTTCACATCCACTCCCTCTAACCTTTGGGTTACCGTATGAATTAATGCTCCCAAAACAGCGCTTATAGAGCTGGTTTTCCATTGCAAATCTGAAATTTTTATATCAAAAGAACCTGCTGTTATTGTTTCTTAGTGAATGACTTTCATCAGCAAATCTGATTGATAAAGAAATTTAGATCACAGAACTCTTGGTTTTAGCATTAGTCCTCCTTTCCTCTGGCATTTACTGAACTCTGCTCATCATTTCTATTATTTCTGACATAATCATAGTCCTTTTTATCCTTTGCTGCATATAGTTCTGAAGGAGAAAACCCCACTTTTTATTCCTTATGTAACCAACAAAAAAAAAATTCTCCTGATTACTTATTTATTTACACATTTATTGATAACCCTCTGAAATTGTATGTGAGGTCATGATGTTATAAATACATAAGATTTAATCAGAAATAACACTAAAAAACTTCAGTATGAAATCTCAAAAAAATAAGTTGCCAAAGTTGGCCTATTTTTTTTCTTCTCCTTGCTTTAAGTGAATTACATGCTTCTTATGATAATATTTTGTTATTACTGCATGCTTGGCAGGAATTGTGTTACTGAAGATGATTCATTCATAATTTTCCTAGCAAGTGAACCTGCAAAAGGAAGTTTTTATGAAATACTTTTACAGGTAATTCTCTTATTTTCCTTAGAAAATGTTAAATTTGATCTATTGTGGCAGGTATAGGAATCAAGGGCTAAAATCCTAGTTTATTTGTGAATAATTTACAAAATGGAAAAAAAGAAATCATTTATATTCTGACTGAGGTGCAAGGCCAGCTGAAACTAGCATTTTATGTTTGTAAATACTGTGGAATTACAAGAGGGTTTTTTGACAGTTAAAACTCTTTGGTGATGCTGAAGGATAAATCTGTCCATCCCTTTCCTGAGTTAACAGAACACGTTAAATTTTACAGGCTTCTGTTCTAATAGCTTTGCTTTTTTCTCATAGAATTTGTGACTGCACTTATTTTCTACATTGTAAATATACTTTTTTGTGTTCTGCCTCTTTCTTACCCGGACAGTTCTTTACCTCATTCACTGTATTTTCCACATTTTCATTACCTGTAATTCTTTGCATAAAATCTGCTTTTCTTCCCTTCCCTCGCAGAATAATTTCCTTCAGGCTTTACTTCTCTCTGTGTGTGTGTCTGTGTGTACATGATACCACTTATTCTTTCTGTCCTGTGTATCCCTCTTGTCTCATTCTTCTACGTGTAGTCACATTTCCATTGTTTTGTGACAGGGTGCTGTCACTTCACATTTTTCAGTGGAAGTCCAATAAATCCTGTAGTATTTACTGGAAGTACCTGCTTCATTTTCTCACTTTGATGCCTGGCTTCTGAGTTTCTTTTTCCATTTGAAAAGTTGTGGTTATTTTTGAGCTCATAATTAACAAATCTACTCCCCTCCAGAACTGCCATAGTCCAGGTATGTTTCTGCCTTTGGATATCTCTCCATAAGTGCTTTGTTCCCCTAGGAAGTACTGTTCATCCATTGTTCTTTTATGTTTTTCAAAAATACTGCTGACCTCAAAATCCCTTTCTAAAGTAGTAATAAAATAATAGTAAGTATTCAAAGCTGCCAAAAAATAACATACCATTCAATATTAGTGACACTCTGTTTCAGATTTTCAGATTATGAGAATTTTTTTCATGCTGTCAATAAACTACTAATTGCTTGTTGGATGTTGTGTGTACATAACATACAGTTTTTATGTATATGTTTACTACAAAGGTCCAGACTTCTAAGTAAGTAATCCTTTTTCCTCTAAGCTTAGCTCTTTTTTCTATATTAGACTTTCAGACTTAGGTAGGTGCATGAATTAAAATAATTCAATCAAAAAATTCAATCTCCAAGAACTTTTAACATTTCTGAATGACTGAAGAAGCAGATTTACGGTGGAATTTAGAATTTAGTTTCATAGGTACTGTGATGTCTTGATAGTTACAGGATGAGGCCCAACCAACACTTCCAGCTTTTCCTGTAAGAGTGGTAAGAGCAACAATGGAATAATCTGAACAAAATGGGAATCAGTAAGGATTAGTAAAGAGAATGTGTCCACATTTATAACACCTTCATATCTGTTGGGTGGAAATATATATCTGCTGTAAAACAGCTTTTTAAGAATAGCTAGACTGAGTTTATAGACTCGGCATGTGATTTACTCAGCTTTCTAACTGTTATATCTTTTGAAAAGTACTAATGGGAGATTTACTTGATGCGTTTTACACAAACTTTTTAATTAAAAAAGGCAAACCCCTACCAGTGGCACTGTGTTCTCATATACTTATGAGGAAAAATATAAAAGCAGAAAGGAGATACTTTCCCAAGAGGTTATGAAACATGGCTTAACCAGTTTTTCTGAAATAACCTTTTTTTTTTTTTTTTTGCATACTCTTGCTCTGGGAGCAAATCTCTCCTACCCTTAATCAATGGAAGGTGAGTATCTTATGACTGCCACATCTCTTGTAGTTAACCTCCTGCATAATGATGTCCATGAGAAACGTTTTCTCTCATTTCCACTGAGGTAAGTCTGTGTCTTTCTGATGCTGTATGAGAGTATGTCTTTTCTAGAGGGCACTAATATGTTACTGCTGGGTCTGAGCATGGGAGAAATCTCAGCAGCAGCATCTGTTGTGAGCACAAGCTCTCCTGTGTTCTCTGATCTCTACATTGGTTTACAGTAGACCGTAATCACATTCCTTCTCTTCAAGTACTGCACAGATTTCTATCCACATAGAGCTTGTGGATAAGCAATGAGGTTTGCAGAAAATATAACTGAAGGACACTGCTGGAGTTTTTTTAAGACATTGCGTTTCCCTGGGGTGCTGGTATCAGACATAGCCAACCCAGCTCAGTTCTGTATGTGTCCTTGAGTGACATGGTCTGTCTGGTTTGGAAGCTGGGCTCTCTACTCCAGGTGAAAGAAACTTGCACAAGACTGAAAACACAACTCCAACTTCATTGCCTTTTTAAGGCCAGACATGCTGCTTTGATCTTTTCCAGTCTAATATGCAGTAAATGTTTAGTCTTACATTATCTCTGTCCTCCCTTTTTCTTCCTGCCCCTCTCTCCCCCTTTAGAGCTCTACATCTCTTCTCAGGGTGAGGAAAAAATAAGATGACAGGTATAAATCCAGTAGGATATTCAAGTTCTGTATTGACAAACTACATCAAAGTGAGTCTACATGCCAAAAATATGAGGAAAGCTGTTCTAGGAGAACATGAGATGCTGAGAATACATGGAGGAAGTACCACCCAAAGCTGATCTTGTGCTCATCTGCAAGCATCAGTTACTGCAGCTGTTAGCAAGAGGGCTGCACGAGATGGGCTTCAGTGAGGCAATACTGCTGGTCCTGTGTCTGCTCAAGTGCAAGATGGTAAGTACCCAAATAATTTGTTCTCTTCCAAATGAAAGAGAAATTCAGCAAAAATACAATCCAGTTATTAAAAAAAAAAGAAAAAAAACCCCAACTCTGTATGAGCTTTTGAAGTTCTGCCATCAGTAGTAAAATTAAGAGCTGTTTTAGGCTGTTAGCTTTAAGTAGAAATACCTAATGTATTCATAAAAGTGTTCACCACAGACATTGTGTAATTTGTGGTGATATTTACAAGAAATTATAAAAACTTATTCTTTTTGGAAACGAATGTAGTTACTTTAATTGTTTCAAATCTGGATAGGTCTTGTAGCTTCATATAATGTCATTTTATCTATCCATTCATCATGCTCTTGTGAAATAGCAACTAAAGGACTGTCTTCTAGGGCAGCTAGCAGCAGAGTCCACTGCAGCACTTCCTGTGCAATTATTTTTTCTCAGTTTGGCCCTATTTATAGTTTTTGCCTAGGGTCCCCCTTTTTGAATATTTTTTTCAAATCAAGTAACCATCTGAAATATTAATTCCTCTCAGTTACTAGGATTGACTCCAAAATTGCATTTGTTAGTTTTGTCCTTTGTTTTTTCCTTCAATTTACTTTAGCGAATGGCTCATACAATCAGTGACTGTTGCTGTGCAATATCAGTTTTGTTTTATTGAGATAGTGTTTGCATTTGGCTCCTACATTTTCAAATTATGATAACTTATATGACTGTTCTAGAGAGGAATTGTGGTAATGTGGATAAAAAAAATTTGATTTCAAAGATCAACATTTTCATTTACCTGTAAAATCAGGAAATACTGATCCTTTTACAAAACTGTAGTTTTTTAAAGAGTACATTTTAAAAAATCTTTTTCTGAACAAAATTGAATACCAGCATTTATGTAGTTTACTGAATCTTTTGTCATGCGACAGTTGCATTCTGCTGTCCCTCTTCCTTACAGCTTCCAGTAAAAGCTGTGTAAATCATTTTTTGTTGTAAGTAAGCAAGGGCAGTGGTAAACAGGAAGAGATGCTTAATCACAAGTATGATAATTCTCATTAGTAAATTATAATTTTATCTCTTTCCCACACTGTGTGAATTGATCCAGACTGCAAACTGTTGTATGGAAGAATCCTTTACACATACCAGATTGTTTAGAGAATGTGTTTTACTTTCCAGAATCAAATACAAATTAGTGCTAATCAAATTAGTACTTTTCCCCATGATGGTACAAGCAAAGCATTTATTATTTCAAAGCAGCTTTTTCTTCACGCTTTTACGAACCGTGTCACTTAGGAACGAACTTCCCGGCCAACAGAGCTGAATTTGTTAAAGCATCGTTTCGCAGAAGCAAGTACAAAACGGGGTTTTAAATAATGACGGGACACCTGGGCGCTAATGGCAGCCCGTGAAGGGCGTGCAGAGCGGGTGTCCCTGTGCGGGGCGGTGTCGCTGTGCGGGCCGGTGTCGCTGTGCAGGGCGGGTGTCCCTTGCGGGGCGGGTGTCCCTGTGCGGACCGGTGTCCCTGTGCGGGCCGGTGTCCCTGTGCGGGGCGGGTGTCCCTGTGCGGGCGGGTGTCCCTGTGCCGGGCCGGTGTCCTGTGCGGGCGGGTGTCCCTGTGCGGGGCGCGGTGTCGCTGCGAGGGCCGTGTCGCTGTGCGGGCGTGTCGCTGTGCGGGGCGTGTCGCTGTGCGGGTCGGGTGTCCCTGTGTGTCCCTGTGCGCGGCGGGTGTCCCTGTGCGGGCGGTGGTCGCTGTGCGGGCGGTGTCGTGCCCGGGGGTTGTGCGCGGGCGGGTTGTCCCTGTGCGGGCGGGTGTCCCCGTGCGGCGGGGCCCTGTGCGTGGGCGTGTCCGCTGTGCGGACCGGTGTCCCTGTGCGGGCGGGTGTCCCTGTGCGGCCGGTGTCGCTGTGCGGGCGGGTGTGTGGGGCGGGTCCCTGTGTGTCGCTGCGAGGCTGCCGGTCGGTGCGGGGCGGCTGTCGCTGCGCGGGCCGGTGTCGCTGCGGTGCTCGGCCGGCCCGGAGGGTGGCACTGGACCTCCACGCACGGACCTCCACGCACCGCCCGCCCCGCGCGGCGGGACCGAGCCGGCGCGGAGCGCAGACAGCTCAAAGGTGCTGCCTTTGCTCGGAGTCAGCGCTCTCGGTCGTGCTTTTTGTCAAAATATTGGCACTATTTTTGCAAAGTGGCTTCTGAATGGTTTTGGTGAGATAGGCGCAGTGCTGTTTTCCCGAGAGTGAGTAAACAAACCTCAGCCTGCTCTCTGCGTTCCCTTTCCCGGAGATGGGCTGGAGGGACACCCGTGGGTGTGAGCCCGTCGATTTCTGTCTGGGATGACATTGTGAGCTAGGCCATATGTTGTTAAGGGCAATACACAAGAAAAGCCAGGTTAGGAAACCTCTCTTCTAGATGAAGAGTCCTCATGTTGCATTTCTGTTTTTTTTTCCCCCATGGGAAAAAATTGCCTATAGGTACATTTGCAATTTTCATACATGACCTACTCAAAAAGACTTTGCAGAATTTAAATATGATTGTTGCCCAAAATATTTTGCTATAACATCATTGACTGCAGGTCCTGATCTACTATGTTCAGCTACTCAGTTAACAGGGCTGTTGGCAACAGCCATGTCCAGAGACAGTAAATGGGCCAGGGAAAGTGGTGAAAATATCACAGATTTTTCTAATGCACTCTAGAGGGACAATGATAATGCTACAGAATAAAGAAATCCCACATCTCTAAGGAAACTTTAAGAATAAATGTTAAGGCTTTTGGGTACTCAGTTTTGACCTTGCTATTGATCTTTGAATGATAAAATCTTTCTTCAGAACAAAACAAAAGACTGAATCTCTAAATGAACACCTAGTTTAAGCCCTTAGTTCTGTTCGTAGGAATGCATTGTCAAAATGAGGAATTAGTTAATCCTGAAAGAGGAAATTTTTTTTCCTTTCTTAATTTACATTTTTTAAAACATGTTTGTTTGTTTTCCTGCTCAGCTCCCCACGCCTTGTAAATTGTGAATTTCTCTTTTGGCTATGCATGATAAGGAAATCGGTTTCATTCTACAAGTGTGTTAATCATCTCATAGTTTAAAAATATCAAAGTGTAAATGCCTTAGTTTCTAAAGGGGTTGATCTTAAAATAATTACAGTGATCTGACCGTTGCAGCTCTTTCATTTTATAAACTGAACTGTAAGTTTAAAGTGACACTTACTGTGGTCTCACCCTAAAATGAGCAGTAGGGTGAAAAATTAGTTTTTATGGTGAAGTTGGTGGCAATTGCATTAGATTGTTAGTAGTTGGGAATGACAGAGATCTCAATACTGTGATTACAATCCCGAATGTGATACTGTTCAAGGTTAAGTAAAATACACAGGAAAAGGAGTATATAAAAGGGACTGAGGCGTGCTGAGTTGCGGCACTGAAGTATTTCACTATTGGGCTGTCAGGGTTAAATGTTGATTGCACGAAGCTGGAACAAGCCGTGCTCTCCGAGCGCTGAGACAGTAGCGAGGGTTGGCCACAGGAGGCACAGCCGGTGTGTGCTACAGGGAGAGATTTCCCTAATCCCTGCGGGGCTGGGCATGGTGAGATGCAGATCAGCTCTGGGCCGTGTCCTTCTCCACCCCCCGCCCCGTCCCAGCTTTTGCTAACCCTTCTTGTCTTCTGATTGCATTGATCCTCTGAGAGGGCACGCTTCTGCTTGGGCAGGGCAGCGTCGGTATTAAGAGATCAGAGCTGGCTTTCTCCCAGCCTACGTGAATGGATTTGGTGTCAAGGGCAAGGAAGGCAGCTGCTGCTGCCCCAGAGCACCACCCACCCACCTGTTCGCTGGTGAAAGTGTTACTGGCCCCAGGTGAGGCTCCTGCCTTTCACGCTAAGAGTCCTCAGAGCACAGGAACCTTGAACATGCTCCCTCAGGCCCTAAGTGTAGTGCCTGCCAGAGAGCTGTACTTACCTGAACCAGCAGTGAAGTTTCTTTTGTTCCAATTACAAGTGATTCTTCCATTCCTAAGCAGGACCCAGCTTAACTTCCCATTTCAGTGAAGTTTATGAGTGATCTTAAATTAGAATGTCATCTGATAAGGCACTGTCTTATGACAACTAAACATATCTAATGGACAGTAGTTCCACAGGGTACAGTAAATGTCCCTTGAATAAGGGATATTATAGCATAGCTTCTGAGGGCAAAAGAGAAAAGAAGAAACAAACCGTTGCTGGCTTTCAGGAATTTAGACTCCTATTTCAAACTTAATTTAATTCTTATGGAGAGAGTCCCTGTAGGAGCAGCCAAAGTTTAATCAGTAACACAACAGCGATTTAGCTCAATTCCCAGTATCTTAGTCATATGGAGAAGCTGCTGCAACTGATTAGAAACCCCATTTCATTGAAATATTGCATGGAAGCTTGAAAATTCCAGTGTGGAAAGGCAACAGTCACTTCATCATTCTAGATCCCATGTTAACGCATCACCAACTCTCACATTCAAAGCCTTTTTAGAGAAATTTAATCATTGGGGGACTAATAACCACCCACAACCCTGAATTCTGAGTGATTATTCTAAACACAAATTAATAGATCTGGGCCATTACTACCCCAAACTGAATCATTCATAGGGGTGGGAGGGAAGAAAAAAGGCAATACTCCATGGGAATGTCTCAGGATTAACTGCTTTTGTACATTTCCAAACACTTTGTCAATAGCATCCCCTGTGTAATAAATTCCTCACCTAGTTCCTTTCACACTGCTTACAGGCAGATCACTTAGAAGTTTACAATATACACTCAAATAAGATTTTCCAAGTTACAAGAATTATTCACTTCAGGTAATTTTATTCTTTTATAATCTCTACATATTTTAATTTTTACTTGATAAAAGTCATAACAGAATGTATAAGTATTAAAAAAAAAACAAACAACAAAAACACAACACAAATCAAAGCCAGCAAACAGTTGGTCCCCAAAGAATAAAGCAAGCAATCAGTTCAATAAACACACTTGATTTATTTTGTATAAAAAGGGTTAAGATTACAACTAAACTTTTATAAAAAGTTTAGCATGATTAAGTACATCATTACACTTTTTGCAGAAATGTATTATTTCTGCCACTATACAAGAAAACTCTAATTAAAGAGTTCACAAGGTTTCACTCATATATATATATTTATATATAAATATATACACAGCATTCAGTCCTAGGTTTGTGTCAGAAAGGTAATTTCTGACCACAGACTTTCCTAAAAAACTGAAAACTGGATCCTTCTGGTACTCACGCTCCACCTTTGGAAAAAAAGGCAAAGTCTGCTTTAAAATGGGCAACTCCTTGTGAGATTTTTGTTTCGCTCCCCACGTTGGGAATAGTATATAAAGGAAGCCTTCCAACTAGGGAAAGGGTATTTAAGAGTCTCTTCATAAATAACTAGGTTCAGTCCAAGTTGAAAAATGGGGTGGGGATAAAGATCAATCTTGATTTTTTTCTTCTTTATTAATTTTAAAAGGTCCTTTTAGTTGAACGTGGATCTTCCCCTCCAGATACAGCTGAAAAATAAATTCAGCACCTCAGAAAAAAATCCTGTAGACATTTTCTTGTGCAAAAAAAAAAAAAAAAAAGTCATCAGTGGAACACCTGCAAGAGATTGAAGAGAGGCATATTTAGGAGAATGCTAACAGGGCAGAGATCCGGACAGACTGGCGCCAGAGAGGAAGCCACAGTTTGAACATTTAACCAAACACTCAGAGATTGGGCAAACCCTGGCGTCCAGATGCAACACATACACGCTCACACACTCTCTCTCAAAAACACAGATTGAACATTAAAATAACATACACTCCAGGGAGAGGGTAGAAAGAGGATTCTCAGTCCAATCTTTATTTAGATCTCTGTAAACGCAATGCTCAGAGGCGCCAGTCTGCCTCTTAGAGCAATTATTTGATTAAAAGCAGTCATTTATTTAACTGATAGCGCAGACAATCCCACATCACAGAATTTAAGGAACTGTGCCAAGATTCCCAACTTAATCAGTCACTTTTGCCCGGGAAGTTAAGACTCCAAGAACAGATAAGAACTTGCATTAAGCAGCGAGCAAGATCAGAGCAGCCTGTGCTGCTGGGTGAACCTCAGTGACACACACACTTAGGACCTTACGACCCAGTTATTAGCATTATTTCTTAGTAATTACAAAGGCATCTCGTAACAAACTTTTAGGACAGACTTTTAGCATTAGCCATCACGGCTCCCGTTCCCCGGGGAGCCACTTTTTACGCGAAGTTTAGAAATAAGATCCACTGCACTCACCGTTCGGTTCAGCCACAAAGTGCTTTGCTGTCGCCTGACATGAGCTCTGAGGGGAACTCGGACGCCTGCGACGAGAAAAGAAGAGCAGGGTAAGGGCGAGGTGGCCGAGCACTCAGGGAGCCGGGAGCGGGAGTGTCCCGGGTGCCGCAGCGCTTCCCCCTTGGCACGTCTGGATACATCCGCGCCGCGGGGACACGGCCCGCGCCACCCGCGTTGGGGACATGGTTAATGCCACCCGAGCTCCCCGATCCAGGTCAGCGGCGAGCCGGAGCGCGGGGGAGCCACGTACCTGTAGCGAGAGGATGCTGATGTCTGTGTTAAGGGTGGTCAGAGGAGTTCTGGAGGAAGGGTTCTGCCCGGGTCTCTGGTGGTGGAGGCTGACGATGCTGGGGTGCGAGTCCAAGGCGATCTGCAGGTCGAGGATGTAGTCGATGACGTGCTGCAGGATTTCCATCTTGCTCACCTTCTTGTTCTGCGGGATGCTGGGGACAAGCTCCTTCAGCTTGGAGTAGCAGTCGTTCATGTTGTACAGCAGGCTCATGGGGTCATCCACGGGGGTCTTGCTCCGGGAGATACCGAGGTTGTGCTCCGAGAGGCCGGTTTTCCTGACGGACCGCACCGGGCTGAAGGCTTTCATGTTGGCAGGCGGGCGGGCGGAAGAGCGCTATTCCAGCGGGCGAACTGAAGCCTGCGGGGCGCGGGCGCTGCCGTCCCACTGGGGCGCTGCCGGAGCTCGCTCTGAGGTGCGGAGCTGCGCGCCCTCTTATATAGCGGCCACGGCCGGGCCCGGCCCGCGCTCGCTGCCATTGGCCGCCGCCGGCACGTCCATCACCCCGCGGCGCCCTCACTGGTGGGGCCTTCCGCCGCGCAGCCAATCGCGGCGGGGGCGTGGTCGTGCCGCACAGCTGAGGCAGTAAATAGTGCGGGCAGCGCGGGGCAGCGCTGGGGTGTTCTTGTCCTTGTCTGTCCTGTACCCTACACTGCACCCCCGGCCCCCCCAGTCCCGCACTGGCCCACATCCCGCGCTGCCCTCCGCACAGACACGCTGCAGTGTGCGGGGCTGGCCGCGCGGGACGCGCAGACCCCGCTGCAGTGAGCGGTGGTGCGGGCTAAGCTTTCTCCAAGTCGTCGTGAATTGGACCATCCCGTCGGTGTTTCTATGAACCCACTCAGCACACGGTGCCGTAAATCACCGACCGGGTCAGCAGCCCAGCGCTGTAGGCTGCAGGTGTAAGCGGGAATGAGATAAATCAAGATTAAATAAACCTCTAGAGCCCACTGCAGCTTTCTGCCGTGATGAGAACGGGACACTAAGCACCCCAACAGGCAGGCAGGCAGGCAGGCGCCGCTTCCAGCGCCCTGCTTCCCGAGAACGGGACTACTTCAGATGATACTATTAATTGGAGATCATTAAGCAAATGTGCATATTGGAAGTGCATTTACATGTATTACCCTTGAAAGGCTGCTCATCTGCGCCCTATCAGTGCTCGTGACACAGTACTGCCATTAATTATGCATAGATTGTTTCTGGTGACAAATGCAAATACTTACTACACGCTGTACTTTTAGCAGCTTTTGGCTGCAGCCACTGAAACATCTTCCAGAAACATTCCAGAGGAAAAAGTTAATTTATTTTGTTGTTGTTGTTGTTTAGCTGAAGTGACTTTGATTTTATTTTTAAGTTTAGTTCCACTGTATTTTCCTGTATTTTGCTTATACTACTGGCTGTATAACAAACTGACACATTCTACCTAAGGAAAGTTCAACTCACAAAAGTGTGAACATATATATACAATTAATACAAATTAAATTCTGCATAAATTACAGCAATTCTATAATAACCACACGGATACTTAAAGTACATTAGTGTTCATTGCAAACAAAACCGTAGTAACGGCACACATCCATAAAATCAGTGAGGATTGTGCTGTCAATCATAACTATTAAAAGCAGGCAAATATTGGATATATCTGCACAGTTGTTGCGTAGCTACACGAAGGGAGTCGGGGCTGCGGGGGTGGAACATTACGGACATTTGGAGACAAAGCTGAGAAGAGCCGCATCAGTGTTTTTTCCAATTAACGTGGCATTCCTGAGCTGGTGGTTGGCTATTCTCTAGCAGGACACTTTGGTGACTGTCACACCAGGGTGTTTGCCCCGGGGATGTTTTCCGGGGGTGGACTGGAGGCGGTGCCGAGGCTGACAGGAACACAATTCAACGCGTTTTGAGACGCGAAGGGTGAAAGTGAATCTCGACGTTCAATCTGTTAGGAAGACAAATACACTGTTCAAGTGCAGTTACAGAAAGTAAATAGTAATAACTGTTGTTATTGTTACTGTTATTATTATTAGCTACAGTAACGCTGCCAATTAACGACTCGATTAAAATCACCACTTAGAGCGACTTCAATCCTTTACATTGCTAAACTATCAGTTGGTGGTAGTACTTGACCTGAGGCCACAGGTTTTAGTCTTGCAACGTGCTTGCCTTTCTGTCTAATGAAGGCACCAGTGGAAGAAATTTTGACCATGTTTTTAGTGTAATAATAGCCAACGTAAATATGTTCATGCTTCTCCGATCACTGTCCTGCTTGGACAGCGCAGCAGCGCGGCAGGACCGGCCGGCCAGGCGCTGCAGAGGACCCTGTGCTAATGCTTTCGGTTTTCTACACCGAGGGCTTTTAGAACACCGGGAAGTTGTGTGGAGAGGCTAACCTGGCAATTTTCTCTGTCATCTAATGATTGTCATGGGCGCTTTCTGCACGCAAAGTAGCCCGCGAGCAGGCTGCGCTTCCCCAAAGCGAGCGGCTGAACTGGCTTTTTTGCTAACATTTAATTCCCACAATTCTGATCTTTAAGCCCTGACAGCTTTGGCAGGGGCTCGCAAGCTCTGGAAGCTCCTGCGCTCCGACGCAGGTTCCACGCGCGGTCCCGGCAGCCGCGTCTCTGCCGCTGCCCGCGGGGGGAACCCCGGGGGGGCCCCGAAACCATCGGGGCTGCGAGCTGCTCCTCGGGGGCTTTTCCCCACGGCCCGTCCCAGGCAGCTCCGGGTGCCTCGGGAGCCGCGCGTTCGCCTCTTTATAGTTTTCAGCCGGGATTGTCACAGCCGGCTCCCAACCTCCGAAACGCCGCCGCTGCAAACATCTGGCAGGACCCGCGGCCGCCCAGAGCCGCGCACAAAGCGCCGCTTTCTCCTCAAAATCACAAGCGCGGGGCTGCGCGCCGCGGGCTCGGTGGCCCCGCCCGCCCGCGCCAAGCCCGGGGCTGCTCCGGGTGCGCGGCAGCGGGGCGGGAGCGCGGCCGCCCGGGCGGCGCCGTGTCCCCTCCCCGCCAACCCCCGCGCCCCGCCCCCGCGCCCGGGCCGGCCCGACTGCGCGCGCCAGGCCCCGCTGACATCAAGCCCCTCGCCGCCGCCCCCGCCCGCGCCGCCCGGGCCCGGGCGGCGCCGCCTCCAGGCGCCTGCCATGGCGACGGGGCTGCGCCGCTGGCGGGCCGCCCCGGGCCCCGTTTCCCCCCTCCGGCGCGACCTGCAGCGGAGGCCGCCCCGGACCGGCCCCGACCATGCGGCGGCTCGGGGCGAAGAGGGAATGTGGGAAGGGGGGGAGCCCGCAGAAAGGAAAGAATAAACCGGGAAAAAATCGCGGAGGGACGAGGGGGGCGCGTCCGCGGGAAAGGTCCCTCGGGCAGGGGCGACCCGGGCGGGAAGGAGCGGGTCGAGCTTCCCGGGCTGCGGTGCGGTTCGGTCCTGCCACACCAGCACCATCCCCTCACCCCCTAACACCGCCCCCCCCTCAAAAAAAAAAAAGTATTTTCTACGAGGAAAAGTCCCGGGGTTTTTTGAAGGCTGCCTGTCCTTTCGCCTTTTACGGTCTTCTCAGCCCGAGGTCCTCCTCTGGGGCGTGTGCGGGGCGAGGGGCTGCGGGCAGAGCCCGCGGGGCTGGGCGAGCAGCGAGTTCCTCCGCGGCAGTGTCCCTTGCCTCTAATGAAATCTATCTAAAACATTCAGTAATAATGTAAATGGCTTTAATTGCCGAGTACTTAAGCCATCAAACCAGACTAAAAAAAAAAAAAAAAAATCTGTTAAAATTGGCCCATTTCCAAGTCATTGACACCATCCAGCCTGTCCAAGTGGGGTGTCCAAATAAGTTTTGATACAGGAGTTTTCAGTGTACCAGGTAAAATATCTCGCTAAACCCGGCCGTTTTTAACTACCCTCTCCCTTTTGTTTGCCTCACATTTCCAATTCATTCAAAGAAAAGTTTTAGAAGTTTGGGGGTTGGCTTTTTTCTTTCTTTCTTTTGAGCGGGAGGGAGAGTAATGCATGCAAAATATTTAGTTACAACTTCTGCAAAAGGCACCGATCTGTAACAGCATTTTCTACTTTCACAAAGGATTTTCCTGTTACTTTTGTTCCGGTCACAAAATTAAAAAAAAAAAAAAGGACTAAAGAAAAAAAAAAAACTTGGGGGAGAGATAAGGTCTGGAAAACAATCTGGAATTGCCAGGCTGTTGGTGGGAGCTCTGCGGGGCTGGCGTCAGGAAGTCTGCGCCGCCTTCTATTACTGTTGATCCAGCTTTGTGCAGCTGCACTCAGTACAATTAGCTTGTAGAAACAATCCTGCTGTAGGCAGCCTCTTCCCTTCAAAGTGCTTTTCTATACTGATCCCCTCACATCATGATGCTGGAAATCAAGTCACAAGCCGACCACTGTTTGGCCAACATCATCTGTGGGAATTCATTAACCTCCATCGCAGAGATGCAACAAGAGATTGTTTGTCCAGAACTAAACTTACAGCTTAATATGATGTAGCCCATACAGGAAAAAACCTGTGTCCCCATTTTTTTCCTTTTTTTTCCCCTTTTTTTTTTTTTTTTTTTTTTTTGTTCATAACAAGAAACACATTGTGCAGCTTTTTATTCTTTTTTTCTTCAGGGGGTGGGGAATGTAGCTGAAACCAGGCATGAGCCGGCTCCTGCTAAAACTTTGCCATCAAACTGTTTTTTGGTTCATCGGGCTGCAGTTTCCATAGAAGCAACTTATCCCCGCGATCATCTTGTCGGGTGCACTTCGCAAGCTCATTTCCCGTCTGAGCTTGCTCCGCTGCTCTCGGATGCTGCAGCTGACACATTTCCTCCCCGTGCACTTTGCACCCACCTCATCCTTGCCCAGATGCTCGGGGCTGATTGTGCCTAAAAGGGGGTTTCAGCGCACTCCACAGCTGCCTTGGGGGAAGGGACTTTTTTTTTTAAATTTTATTTCTACTTTTCCCTACCTCATCGCTCACTCCTTGCCACGCCGGCAGCAGCCCTCCCCCTGCCCCCGTCCCCGGCGCTGCAGACCCGGCTGGCAGGGGCGCGGCTGCGGCCACTGTCCCTCCGCCACGCGCGTGTCCCGCGTGTGCTGCCCTGTGCGACCGCAGCCGGTGTCCCTCAGCCCCGGGACAGCTGCCGTGCACCACCGGCTGGGGAGCGGGACCCCTGGGTGACATCCCCCTGCTCCCGGGGCTGTTTGTGAATAACAAACATGGGAGCATGAGTCCTGCTTCCCGACACCGGCTCTCAGGGCGGTAGGGCTGGGCATCACTGCTGTCTCTCACTTCAGGTACCTTCACTGGCCAAGAGAATACCCACTGCTTCCACCCCACTCTGAGCCCCTCTGTGTTCTGCTTCAAGTAACAGATGGATGCACCTTCTCTGAATCCCATTTCCAAACTCCATTCTTTTCTGGGCCGTATTTGCTAATGCCACGGATCTGCCAACTTTAAGATCTCTTTTCCTCTCCCCCTACTATGCTTTTGAATAATGTTGCTTTTGTACGGTATCATTCCCTTCATCCCCACTTTTAAGCATCCCCGATCTGCTGCTGTTAATCCCAAACCGCATGTTGTTGGAGGCTTGGGATATATTGTAGCAAAACATAAATGTTTTTTCATTCTTTTGAGACATTTCCATTTTCTCTAAAAGTGTTGGACCATAGGAGGGGCAGGCTTTTGTTCAGATCCTGTTTTGACATTGGTATAATTTTATGATCAGATTCCTGAAGTACTGTTTTGGAGTAAAATGCCTTAAACTACTTTCTATCACCATCTTGGAAAGAGAGGTGTTTCAATGTGAATTGCGTGGGTTTCCTGCATTTATATCTAATCCAAATTCAGACACTTCAATTCTAATGTTTTCTTCTGTTTTCTAGGATTTCTCATTTCTGCAAGTAGGACCGGTGCCCTGAAGGCATTTCTACATGAACTGTCACCTGTAAGGGGGCTGTTACTTACCTGATCCTCCGTGAAGAACAATGCCATGAAATTTTTCTGAGACCTGCATCTCTCTATCAGAGTAAGTATTACTGGTACAAGGTGTATTAGATCTGTACATTAACTATTATGTTTGTAATCAAAGCCAAATACACTTCCTATATTTTTAAAAATCTTTATTAATGCAATATCTATATTTTAATTAAGTTACACATTGTCCTCTAGAAGTGTTTATAGTGAACCAGTTAGGTGGCTCTCTAACTTAACACAGTTGTGCTAAAATCTGGGATCAAGCAAGTTCACTTATTAGCACATGCCTTATGTAGCAGATGGTTTTCATCTAGCGTAGCTTTTCTAGTGATACCTTTAAATTAATGTAGGTCTAAAATGCTGCAGATTTTACACTCCCCACCAATTCTCTGGAAAATCTATTCAGGATAGAAAAGAGAGAGGAGCCAGGCAAGAGGTTACTGACAGTACCTCACATACAGTAGGGAATAAACCAAGGAATAAAAATGGCCTTTATTTAAAAGTTCTTTCATTTGTTAATTATCTGGCTGGCTGGTCCAGCTTCCCTCAGTCTCCCGTTGTGGCCCGATTGTGATTTTTAGGTATAGGCCTATGGCAATAAGATGACAAAATGCTTGGCATAATTTCACTGAAAAAAATGGAGGGATTGGGAATTGAATTGGTGGGAGAAGATTTTGAAAATCTGTTCCAGGTATGTTTTTAAGGCCACCCCCCCAAAATATAAAGTTATGATAATTTCAAATACAGATGTGTTTGTGTAGTGTGTTCTGTGTGTTTTGGTTTTGCTAAGTAATAATGTTTCATCAGCACAGTGGAGAAATTGAGTCTGTACTGCGACTGGTAGTAGTGACTAGTGACTAGTTGTTGGTCAGTCTATAATTTTGCCTTCCTGTTGGCTTCAGGAAGAAAACCTCAGTTCCATGGTGGAAAGCTTTGTAGTATTAAGCAGGTGGTACTAATTTTGTGCTTTGCCAAAGCTATCGTTACAGGTTATGTCAAGACAGGACCCATAGCATTCTCAGTCCTTTTAAACTAATGTATAGACCAAAATTTTCTATGGTCAGGAAAGCCTAACTCCACTCAGGGTTTGGGTAGTGGAAGTGCAGCTTAGCAAAATGTGTGCACTGCATCCCAAATGCATGTGCACCCTCACGAGTCGTGCTGAACCACTGTGAGTTCCAGTTTCCCAGGCTGTTAAAACTTTGCTTCTTTATAGGCCCAGACTGAGCATTATCTAGGTTAAGCTTTCTCAGTGACTGTCTCCTGCATAAACCCACTTGGGAATCACAAAATAGGTATGTGTCTAGATCTCTGGAGACGCCTGGTCCAGGAGGTGTGCTCAAGATCGTGGTTAAATGCACAATGACAGCATGGAGCTTAGCACAAAGCACAGCAGCTGGAGCTGCCGGAAAGTTCAGGGGCAAAGAAGGAAAAGAACTGCTACTTTCTCATAAGCAGTTTTTCTCATGAGAGCACTTGTCCTGGAAGTGAGAGATTCAGATTCAATGTTCTCCTCATCAGAGGTGATATAAGCTCCCTCCTGCTTGCAAAGCAACCCTAACGACCAGAGATAAGGCTAAGGTGGAGGACACCCACCCATCCTGTTCAAGCTTGCCACAGTAAAGAAACAGATGCAAATTTCAAAGGGCCAGAGGGATTATAAACAAGAGGGAGCCTGACACTGTAGCTCAGGGGTAGAGGCATCTCCTGGATGGCAAGAAGCCTGAATACTGGGCCTGGCCTGGCAAACTCACCCATTATTGAGGGTGAGGTTCATCTCACCTTATCTTAGCTAATTAGAGGTTTTGTGTCTAATCTCTCTACAGTCAGTGGGATGAGAGAACAAGAGACACCTGCAGAGAGTGATTCATTCTGTGCCCATCCAACACCTCTCTCAGGATGGAACAAATCTCCTCACTGGGGACTGTTGTTCTCCATCAGTTCTCGGCAGAAGATAGACAATCAATTTCAACCTGAAGCCTGCCTTAGAGATGACAAGTGAGGTGGATTCCACTGTGCATGACTAATTTTTCTGATTCATCATACCTGAATTTAGCCTTTAAAATTTGGGTATGTAATCAAAGTTAGTTGTTTGAGTTCTGTCTCTGTACCATGCTCATTCCTTTAGTGGGAGGCTGGACATGGGTGGCTGTGGTGAAATGTCTTGGGATGAAGTATATATTTTGCTGAGCCTGTAGATCCTAAAAGCCGTGTATGCCCCTAGTTTGCACTTGTGAATCCTGGTGCTGGATGTCTCAAATTTAAGTGTGGAACTATTAAATGTAATTGTGCGAACTACTTTTGTGGATAGTCTAAGTGACTAGAGGCACTATATACTGCTTTTAAGAGAAGAGTTAGTTGCATAAAATATGCATAAAAATATCTGAAGATGCTACAAAGTTACAGTTGGGAATTTCAAAAAAACCGAAAGGCTTCTTATTTAAATCAAAGAAATTGAAGCACTATAGAAAATGGACTAAGTGCATACTGCATTTTATGCACTTGAATACCCAGAAAAATTTGTCTCTAACTTCTAAACCTGGAGGTTGGATGCCTTTAAAAATACCATGTTTAATCCTAGCCCTGAAGAGATGAGCCTGTAATTTTCAGTTTCAAAAAGCTATAGTTTTTCATTTTTGATAATATGGAGTAGTGCTGTGGTGTACTGCAGGATAAATCCCAACTATGTACATCATTGTTTCATCAGAGATCAACAAAAGGTCACTCAGCCTTCTTATCAGATTACTGGAGTGCAAGTGTTTTTTGTGCTGGTCTAAGTTTGGTGCACATATATTCTTTGCAAATGGATAATTTCAGAAAAAGACAAGCTATGTGTTTTTATAATTTAATATTTGTTAAAGATCACCAAAGGCTTATGTACAGTCATTTTGCAAATTTTAGATTGTAGAAGCAATGGTGGAAAATCAGTGTCCAGTTTGGCAAAATTACAGTAATATGTTCTCCTGGTGTGTTTCTAGCTACAAATACAGTTGAAGATGATGCCACCACATTGTTCATGTCAATCACTCCATAAGGCTGAACGCCTTAAACTATTCCAAAACTCTTGGTTGAGAAACCCTTCTACCTCTTTTATCAAAATACTGAGGATATATGTTTAAATTTGGCATTGGGAAAGCAATTGGGAATTAAATTACTTAAGGCTTCGAGCTATTGTTTACAGCTGAGACCAGAGGTCTGAAAATATTAAAAGGATGCACAAACTTGTTAGAATATTTTGAGCCAAAACAAAACAGTTGATACCTAGCTGAGGATCTCAGTTCTCCATTGAACAATCAGAATTTAGACTTTTAGCGGCTTCTTAGTTCCCTGCCTTATCACTCGGCTTGTTTTCACTTCATTAGCAATAGTTTTGTGTTCCTTATTCCCTTTCACAGCTCTACAGGTCTCTTGGCTCTGGAGATGGGATTCACCTGGCTTGACTTACAGCATGTGTCTGATTGATGTCTACATCTAAGCCTGTCTTTCAAGACTCAGTTTACAGATAATTTAGAAAATCGTTGCTTCTGTGATGACTTATTTCTACCTAATACAGAAGTCTAAAAGCCTAACTCTACTCTTCATACTCTCTTGATTTCTGAGTCCAGCTGTCCTTAGCCCAGCCAGCATATGGTTTAACTAGACATCCAGGTCTTGATATGGATGGCCCATGTCAGGGCGGGTTCTCAGACTTTCTTGGTAATTTCACACCTTTTTTTTTTTTTTTTGACTTGACACATCTGGCAGCAGTGAGAAAAATGAGCAGTGACTAATATACTTTCACCAATAAGTCTTTCTGGCTGTGGTCTTGTGAAGTACTGGGGATTTACAATCCACAGAGTGTAACCTCTAGGCTAGATGCTCATAGTCGTATGCTTTGTGCATTTCTGCACCATCGTTCAGCCTGTTGTTAACTGTGGTAATCTTTGCTAGCAGGACTGGGTATTCTTTGGGGCATAGATGTGAGTTCCCAAGTCTTTGTTCGCGAAGCCTAGCCATGAGATGTGAGTTAAATAGTGAGGGAGGTTGCTTTCTGTGGAAGTTGTACCTCAGTTGTTGTAGAAGGTACACAAAGGGTTCTGAAAGAAGCAAGACGCTCTCTTAAAACAGCTGAATTCTGCTGTGGAGGGCTTAACTGAATCCATGCCTCTGCAATGAAGTTTTTTTTTGTGAGGTGATGTGTAGCAAGGGATGATGGACAAGTCATTTAAAGCAGGCATTTGTCAGGAGACTGTTTACCACATGAGAAGTCAATACGAATTTTTCTTAAATATGTATAATGTGATGATAATGCCACTCTGAAGTAACAGGTCCCATCGATCACAAATTTGGCAGTCAGAACCAGTACATTTTCTGGACAGATGCTTCACAAATGACCATTGGTTTAAAGACAACAGCTTATAATTATTTCTTTTTTTTTCCTGAAAAGAGAACCTTTTGATGGTAGGACAGAGTATAGTCTAGTAAGTGTGGGAAGAGATTCTGGGATGGCAGAAGCAATAATTGTAACAAGGAGCATTTTGGTGTCCTTTCCAGTAAGCTTTTCATGGCCCATAGAGTGATTCCAGCTCCTGCTCTCCATTTGGGAACTCCCAAAGTGGTGCAGTGCCAGTAACGTGACCACTAAGGATCAGTCTCAAAAAGTACCAGTCACAGCTGGATGAAGATTTGGAACAGCAACAAGGAAGTCTAAGGATTAAAGGGGGGAACAGGAGAGAGGGAGAATTCAAGTTTCAGATCTCTGTTCATCAGTTTGGGTTTCTTTCGTTTGAAATGACAAGCTAAAATAAGCAACACTATCCAGAAAGTGAATGCTTCTGAAGAAGCTTCCTGTATTTCTGTCTCCTATTAGGGCAACTTGTGAGGTTAACTGTGGTGATTTTAGCCCTAGCTAAATAAATTTCCTAGCCTATGAAAGACATAGGTTCACAGCTGATCCAGTGAAATCCTTATAACCCTCACAGAAGAGACACTCTAGAAGTGGTCATTTGGGACATTCATCTGGTGCAATGGAAATTCTAAGTTGCAGTCTGACCTGGGAAGAATGAGATATGAAGCCTTGTTTTTTGACAGACCTTGTAAGCATCAGACCATTTCTTTGAGAGTTTCCTGAGAAAATGTTCAGGAGAATAACCTTGGTTTTCTTCTGAAGCATGATTGTATTCTTTTCTTTTCTTTTCTTTTTTTTTTTTTAAATGTGAGCTTCTGCGTTGTTTTCAGTAGTGTTTTTATAGATTCTACCAAGGGAAAAAAATGTCATGGGAAAGTTTTAAGTAATTTTTTATTGACTGGGTGTTTTTTGTTGTAATGCAGATGCTTCTTTTTTAAACCTGGTAAAGGCATTGCCATCTGGGGACGTGCTACTCTCTGCTCTGTGCCGAGAGCAGCAACATACCTTGAAGAATTGTTTTAAGAAGCAATCTGGAGTGTGCCAATTTCTCTCTTTTCTGCTATTTTGGTAGTGTTTTGTGGAGTTAAGCACATGTATATAAGCTGCAAATGTACATTCCTGTATAGAATAAGCAGGCTGTCTGTGTGGATCAGCTGTTATGGGGGTGGCTGTGGGTAAGACATGAAACAGGCTGTGGAAACTCCTTTGATGGAGACTCAGTAGTCTTGATGCTTTACACATATGGGGCCTGATGCAAATCCGGTGAAACCCAGGAAGACTCTTCCTGTCAGTTCACAGCTTTGGATCCAGCTTCAGGTGTGTTTGTGAATGTGTGTGAAGGATGTGGCTGTTTTTTGGCTAGTATAACAGGTGCCTGTGAGAGCAGAGAGGGAATTTGTTTCACTGCTCTGGGTTGGCAAGTGAATTTTATCTAAAGCTTTACACTTGCACATAGCCAGCCTGCTCACGTTCTAAATAGATTCTGCCCTCAGACTGTAAAGAACAAGATAATAACATTATGTTATGTACTTGAGAGATAAATTATTTTAAAAGTCTGAAATTAGCAGATGAGGAGGAATTTATTTGCCAAATACATTTTAGAAGCAGCTTGGGAAACTTGTCAGAGCTCATCTTTAACTGCTTAACTAGTGGCTGTTGAACTTAACAGCTCTGAAGTATACTTACAGTATGAGGGAGACCAAAACAAAATCCCAGGATGTGTGAGATTTTCTTCTAGACAACAAAAAACACCATCAATTCACAAACCAGATAGTTAAAGAAGAAAACCTGCACCTAAAACCACTAACCTCACATAACATCCCCTGTGCTCCAGGCAAAAAAACCCTTGCTCTTTTTTTGGACTCTTTATCCATTCTTTCCAGCTCTATTAACTTGGTACATAGTTGAATATGACCTTTGCTCTGCTAGCAGTGCTGGCCTGTACCGTGTGTTAGTCCTTTTACCACACAGATACCTTCATGTTTTCCTGTGTCCTGTCCTGCATGTGTGGAACAAAGGTCTGGAAAATTCTTTCCAGTCATTCTCCTTCAAATCACTCCTTAAGATGCACTTCACCCTTGATGCCTGTGGGGTGTTGCTGATAATAGCTGGGCAGAGTAAAAGTTAAATTGTTTTCTAGGCAGCCTGTGTGAAAACATGCTCGTGTTATTTCTGCTGCAGATCTGCTGTCAACCCCTTTCCTGCTGGGGAGGACAAGGCCATGATGCTGTTTTAGTAATCACCAGCTGTCATTGGAAGCTGACATAGACAGGAGCAGCTCTTGGCTCTGCTGGTTGTTACCTTCCCTCTCCTTCACTCACAACTCTACCAGTTTGCTTTTAGCCACCATGCTGCTTTCATCCTTCCTGACTCTTGCATATCTGTGAATTCAGCTCCCATGCCTGGCTGAGGGACTGACGCAGAGTCCATCCTCTCAGACTATGTGAGCGCATTTTGGCTTCAAGCATCAAAGGTCTGTTTGGGGGGGTGGCTTTCTTACATATGGAGCCACAGATCTTAACCTTTCAGTATGGCAGAAAGGCTTCCCTCCCAGTTGTTATTACTTGCCCAACTTCGTATGGAAGGGGCAGGCATCCTAGCTAATCAGAGCTTCAGACAGGCAATTCTTCAAATTGTTTTAGGGTTTTTAATTAATACTGTAAGCTCCAGCATCGTATGGCAGAGAGCCAGTATCAGTCATCTGACAATAGCCTTCACCATCCATCAACAATAAGGGAATTCCTCAGCGTATGCTCCGAAACCTTCTGAAATGGGTGAGATTGCAGCTTGCAAAGCATCCTG